GCAGTGTGGTGAAGAGAACGTAGCTATTGCATAGCGAATACACCTACCGATAGACAAATGGCGCTCCACCGGCTATACCCCTTGCTTTGAAGCAATGACATTTCGTGCAGAAGTAGAGCAGACAACAAAGGGTGAGCAGGAGGAAGAGTAAGGCAAGCAGGATCAGCAACACAAGCGACGCATTTGATGGGGCAACCTGGAATTGACGCAATAGCTAGTACTGACAGAGAGAGGAGCCTTAGTGACGCACCTGGCAGAACTCGCCGCTCCAGCCTTCACTGCAGACACAAGTGATGTTGTTTGTTTGAGCGTTGTGAACACAGTCTCCGTGAGAATTGCACAAATCGCAGAGCAGCGCTCCACACACTCGACCCGGCTCGTCTGGACTGCCATCGATGTAGCCTTCAGGGCATCTGCAGGTGTAGCCGATTGGTCGGTCAATGCACTCTGCCACTCCTGAAAAATCGTAAATGTAGGGAATAATTACTCGCACAGAGTGATCACGAGTTGCTTTACTACTTTGTTGAAGAGATTAGTTCCTCTTGAACCGCGAACTGATTATTCCTATAATGCGCACGTCAAAGCGCGAGACAACCGCAAACATGAGGACTTAAAGGCAGCGAACGCGGTGTTGGACGGCAGAGAGCTTCCAATGACGTTATACTGGGTGTCATCAGTGGAACAGTTTGAGGAGGTAGCCCAACCGCTTTTCCATCAAAGAAAACCAATGCCATCATAAAAACCGCTCCGCCTTCTAGCCATCGAGTTCACTGCGTAAGAAGGCGTGCTCCTTTTTCCTTTAGGAGGCATGCCGTCTTTTGAGCGGCCAGTATTGAAGCTTACCTGAGCAGTTGGTGAGTCCGAGAGCACATTCGTTCACGTCCCTCACATGCATACATAGAGTGTCGTCGCCTAGTCCAATGGCGTTACGGTGTTCACTTTTTCTGAAATCAAATGGGCGTGTTGACAGGACGAGGAGTGAGCCAATTGCTAATCCTACCTAATGTCTGTGAAGCCGGGGTCACATCGGCATTCGGCCTGCTGTTCCATGTTCTTGCAAGTGGTATTCGTAGGACAGAAATTCACATCACTACAGTAGTCAAGAACGCAGACGGATCCTGAAGGCTGTGTTTGAAGGAACAAGGTTCACAAAGGCGGGAAGGGAGATCAGCAGGAAAGGGGCAGGTAAGAAGAAGCAATACCTGGAACGGCTCCTGGAGGAGCAGCGTCCGAATACGACGGTAGGCATTCGCATTGATAAAGAATGTTCAAATCGATGCAACGAGCATTCTCCGAGCACTCGTTGTCCTCCTGAAGATTTAAAATCATCTACAATTCCTCTCAGGGCTGCGTTTCATACCTTCTTTTCGCATTCGTTGAATCCGTAGACAGGGACGCATTTCTTCCAGGATCCGAAAGGATCGAGTTCTCGGAATCCGGCACCACACTCGCATCGATAAGTCCGATCGTTGACGTCATAGCAGATTCCCTTTGGATGGCAGTCATTCTGGAAATGTCGGAATTGAAGAGGTAAAAGTCGAATTGAGTATGAAGAGCCAACCTTGAAGCAGGGCTTGTAGGGATTCGGTTGGTATTCGTTCAGATACAGTCCACTGTCACCAACTTCATAACCGTTTCGTTCAATGATGTATCGAACTAGTTCATAGTAGACATCTGACGGTATTCGGACAGCTCCTGAAAGTGCTCCTTTCAAAAAAGAAAATGTTTTTTCCAAAAAATGTCGAAGCAATTGAGAGAGCCGTGTGGTGCGCGTTTGCGCCGCCTCAGCAAAATCGATGGAGGGACAGCATTGCGCTAAGGAGCAATAATGCTGATAGGGCACGTGCACTATTTCGGTCATGAATCCGATATCTGAACGATTCGCAGTAATCCTTACGGATGGAGGACTAACCTTTTCTGAAGTGAACTGTGGTGTTGAAGAGAAGCCCACTTTCCCAGCTGGCATTCATCATCTGAAACCAAATGACCATTACGAAGTAAATGTGACACAAAGTTGGAACGAAACAAGAGCAATCGAACTTGGAATTGGATAATTACCCGTGGATTGACAATCTCGTTCACGTCAGCGGCGACGAAGGCATTGCGAAGAGTCGTGTGGGGGTTAGCATTCCCACCATTCCACGTTTCATAATCCCGAACATACGACTGAACATACACCAAGGGAAGTACGATGCTACCTTCAATTAAATACCAGTTCAGCTTGCTGTTTTTCCGCACTTCACAGCGGGTTTGTAATAGCTCTTTACTGTGAATGAAAATACTTTTTTATTGGTGACCTGAAGTTTAAATAGCTTCTCTGGGCTTTTACAGCGAAAATTTGATTTCCACTGAAACAGGTACTGTCACTTGATTGACTCAATTATTCACGCACCTTATACGTGGAATCCATGGGATTTGCGAATGAGTCATTGTAGATGAGATTTGTGTGTTCCTTGCGTATCACGAGAAGTGGAACGTTCCATGATTCAACGGCACGACATACGTCCGTGGAAGCGGCACGGCGCATTCCAACTGGACAACCGCACACAGAACCGGCTATACAAATCTGGAATAGAGTTCGAACTTAAACACTTGACATTAGCTGAGTTAGCATGGCATATTCGCATAAGATCGCCGTTTCCTACCAATTGACTACCAAAACGGGACGTTTAGGGTTGGTCAATCTCATTTTTTAAAAGTGCCACGCACTCACTCTCACATCACTTATTATCGCAGTGATTTTGAAGAAGTATCTGTAAAATGAAGAGAAAATCTGGAAATCTGGAAATGCTGGAAACAGGGCTATCATTCTCCCAGCCGGGTTCAATCCAACGGAGGAGGCTGGATTCGTGATTTGACTCTCCATGCAAGCGTTAATGGCGCCACCTGCCACTGGCCCTTTTGGTCCGCCACCAGACAACATAACAACTTCTGCGAGGATACCATGACAACGAAGGTTATGGTTGTTCGTTGTTTGCTGAGATTCAGGGATCGGTTCAACTTCGTACCCTGGTTGTGGATGATCTCAGTTACCGGTAAGCAAGCTCAAGGCTCCGAGACCAGAAACGCTGTTAAGAGATGGAGAAAGATGGTTGAAAATAGGGCACAGACTCATTAGTTTCTATCTCATAGCATGAACATTTCACTTTTTGAATTATTTCCTCTTCTTCATCTATTTTTGTATGAAATTGGGAATTTCGAGGATGAAGAACCAAGGGGTTACGAGAATGAGAGAGCCAATACCAGTCCAAGTCGGTTAGTCAAGTCATACTTAACATGGAAGGAACGCTTTGCAACTGAGAAACCTGAACGTTCGCACTTTGTGTGATTTTTTTAACGAAATGAGAAACATTACCTCGCCAAGTTTGAGGTTGCAGTCCTTTCCACCGCACTCACCCAGAGGTTCTTCTGTTCGACATGGATTCAACAGTTCACTGTCGTCAGCGATTCGCAGCGAACGACCACCTGGAATGATTCAGCCTAAGGTTTTCAAAAATAAGACTGCGGTGTTATTTGGTCGTATAGCATCAGCCAAGACAGTGGCAGACAACACATCATAACTATGGTGCTTTCTCAATCAGAACTCAAACATGGACGTATACCAGCTTTACAATATACGGTTCTTCTCGCAGCACCTACGCCGTCACTTTTGCCGCGCGATGGGTTCTTGGACTGGAGTGTCCAGATTATGGGATTAGCGTCGATGTCTGGATAAGGCACGTAGTGCACTTAGAGAGGCTCTAGCCTCTCCTATTCCGCCTCATAAATCCATTCTCTTTTGAGCTAATAATAAGCTCCTTCTCTGTTTTAGGTTTCTGAAGCTACCATCAGTTTTTCCGGCTCACCTTAGTGGCAATGATCCTGAGACGAGCGTGCTGCAGGTCTTCCCTGATTCTCTTTGACCTACTCTTCCTCTCTCGCTGAGGCCCCATCACCTCTATCACCTGTCGTCCCGTTGATCATCGAATTGCTCGAGCGGGCGCCAGCAACGTCTCCATTCGTCCCTGTCGCGTGCAAGAGTGGTCCAGTGGATCCTCCTCGCTCGAGGGACACGAAGCCGTTCATTCCTTTCGTTCAGAAGTCTGACCATCGGGCCGGCGGTCGTCCAGGTGTTCGTTTGACGTCCCGAGGGATCCAGTCGGTAACCGCTCTGGTCCAACGGTCATCGCAAAATCGCATGACGTGTCCGGCCCACCTTATCTTCGATTCCTTGGCGAAAACGGCAGCGTCCCTGATCTTCGATCGTTGGCGTAGTTCGGAACTCCGGATTCCCCTCTGCACTTGCGTGTATAGGGTTACTCCTAGCATCGTCCTCTCGACAGCGCGTTGGATAACGCTGACCGCATGCTCGTCCTGCCTGCGCAGAGTCCAGTTGGACTCGGAGCGCCTCATATTTTGAAAATCCCAGGACATTTTTTTCACCCATGGAATTTCACGAGATCATTGAAATATGAGGTGGTATTGAAGCTAGGAGGAAGGCTCACAGCGCATTCTATCGGGAACGATTCTGAAAACATGGCAATGAAGAGTAGATCGACCTTTTGACCGCAGATGTCGAGGGATTTGGCAAATGAATGCGATATCCGGCTCAGCAAGCTAGAATACCTCAAGGAAGTTTACCTGCGCAGAAGACATCTATTCTCCGAAATATAATAAGTTCCAATGAAAACTAACCTCAAACAGCAAAAAGTGGGGCAGTGTAGGGAAAATGACTCCAGAATCTTCTTCATGGAACTACGAATTATCTCCGGACACTGATCACTTAGTCTTTTTCGGAAAGTTGTGATAAAAGCGCAGCAGTTTATCCCGACCTTGTGATGCTTTACTACTGGCACCAGTATCGCATCAACGGTTCCAGGTTTTTCTTGCTCAAAAATGCAGCACTTATGGAACTTACCGATAACCCCATTTGTGCGCTGTAACGAGGCCATCATTTGCTTCCACAGGTCGCATTTATCAATGGGTTGCTGTTTTGATGGAGTTGTCTGCACGTCGTACTTGAACAGAAGGCCATCTGGCCAAGAGCT